CCTTTATCAGCCTGATCACATGATTGTTCCGAGAAACATGTTATTTTTCCGGAGCATTCCCTTACTCGACGCCTCAATCCCACCAGCCCTCTGGGCGTCGGTGGTTTAGGGCGTTTCCTCTTCCACCCCTCCCTCTTCCCCTTCGGGGAGGGGTTTACCCCTCCCCTACCCCCTCCCCACTGACCTGGACAGGAGGGGCGGGGAGCGGTCAGAGCGTCCAAAACAGCCTCGGCGAGGATGCCTAAATCATTGATTTTAGCAGGGTGTTGGCCCCATTTTGGCCTCCTGGGGGGGGGCAACGCTAATTAAAGCTCAGTTCTTCTTTGATAGATCTCCTCCAAGATGGCACAAAGAAGCGCCCAGGAGGCCCCAAGAGGTCCCAAGATGGCCCCAAGATGGCCCCAAGAGGCCCCCAAGAGGCCCCAGAAGGCCCCCAAGAAGACCCTCAGAGGCCCCAAGAGACCCCCCCCCCGAGGCACCCAAGACCTCGAAGAGCTCCCCAGGATCGCCAAGAGACCCCCAAGACGTCCCAAGAGGTCCCCAAGAATCGCCCAAGAGATACTCCAAGAGGCTCCTAGAGGCATCCAAGAGACCTCTGGCCCTTGTGCTTGCCCTCCTCCTCCTGTTCCTCCTTCCTGCTCCTGCTCCTTCTCTTCCTCCTCCTCCTCCTCCTCCTCCTCCTCCTTCTCCTCCTCACTCCTTTGCACGGTTCGGCCGTCCTCCTCTTTGCTGCCGCACTTCCCTGATCACCTCAACTCGCCTGGACATCGTTTCGGGATGGGCTGGTGGGGATACGCGAAGCGTCTAGAATTGAGGACCCCCGGGGGTCCTCAATACATCTCCTCCAACATGGCCCCAAGAAGCTCCCAGGAGGCCCCAAGAACTCCAAAGTTCAATGTGGAGAGTCCGCTGGGGATTTCCAAATGATTTTTCGCCCAGAGGGCTCCACTCGCGTTTGCCGTACAAAATACATGGTAATGGTGACGGTGGTGGTACTGGTGATGATGATGAGAATTGTAATGGAGATGGTGGTGGTGATGTTGACGGTGATGAACATGATGACGGTGATGGCGAAACTGATGGTGATGGTGACGAGGATGATGATCATGATGACGGAGCCTGTTTCTTTATTTTTCGGGATAGCGGCCGTCAGCGGCTCCGCCCCCCCCCAAAGATGACGTCACGTTCCGCGCCTGCGGCGTCCGGGAATGCCTAGGAATGACCGAAGCCAATTCGGATCAGCATTCTGCTGGCGATCTGCACCGCAGTCCGCGCGTACACGACAATTTTCGCATGCACCACGGCGCGCGTGCACACCACAGCGTCTGCGTACACCGCTACAGCCGTGTGCAACATAGCGCCTGTGTACACCGCAGAGCCTCGCGTGCACCACAGCGCCTGTGTACACCACAGCAAATGTGTACTCCGCAGCACCAATGTACAACACAGCGCCAGTGTTCACCACAACGATTGCGTGCCTGTGCACACCACAGCGCCTGCGTACACCACAGCATTTGAATGCAAGACAGCGCTGGTTTACACCACAACGCCTGCGCGGACAGGACAGGTATAAGGAGCACGTGGGTGAGCATCTGCTGTGGACAGTCGACATCTATAGTGAAGGACGGGCAGTAAAAGACGCAAGGGCCATGGACGCCGACGTTGGCACTTTTGGGCGTCCAATTGCCAGCGCCCGGAAGCCTCAGGTAAGGACGCAAAGGTACCGTTAAGACATCCGCGCGTCCTTCGTATCAGTTTTGACTGTAAACACCACGGGAGTGTTGACAATAGAATGAAATGTTTTGCTTTCCTCGCCCCTTCCGCACTGTCTCCGCAGGTCTCGAGTCTAATGGCCCTAGCTAGTTTGTCAAAGCGAGGTCCGAAGCAAATGCGTCAGCTCAAGCAGTCTGGACTCCGAACCGCCGCGCTATACCCCAGCCGAAGCATTGGGACGGTCGTTCCCATCTGCACGGAAAGTGTAGCATACATGGTACGATATACTGCACGCGTCCAAGGTTCCGATGGCCGTAGACAAATAGATTTGGACACCCGAAACTGGCGCGAAACGGATGAATACAATGCCCAACGACACTTGTTGTCCAAAACCGACAACGGTCGTTGTTGGGCAGGCGGCTTTTGTCCTCAAAGAACAACGTCCGCGGCGGCGCGGGCAACACGATCGTTGGCGTTACCCGGGGGGAGGGCTGGCCCGGGTAACGAACGTTACGCCGTGGCGGGAGAACAAAACGCTCACTGGGGGACGGGCCTCATATCGAGGATAGGCCAATACATCCAAAATGGAGGAGACGGCCCCCAAGGCTGCAACACGCAATGACAAAGTCACGAATTACGGCCCGCAAAACTGCCTAAGGAGGAGGAAACTGACGACGAGGAGGACAGAGGGAAGATGGAAGGAAGTGGGGGTGGCGGGAGGACTCGGGAGGACGTGGGAAGGAGGTGGGATAAATGCGGAGCGATGCATTTTGACATAAGGATTCCTTCTGGCATTCTATGTACAACACTGCTGTTGTGTTGCACACGGCTGCTGTGGTGCACACAGGCGCCGTTGTGTACTACACAAACGCTGTGGCAGACGCTGGCGCTGTGTTGCACACGGCTGCCGTGATGACCATAGGCGCTATGGTGCACACAGGCGCTATGGTGCACGCAGGCGCTGTGGTATACACAGGCGCTGTGGTGTACACAGGCGCTGTGGTGCAGATCGCCACCGACCTGCTGCTGCCCGTCCGCGGTCATTCCTAGGCATTCCTAGACGCCGCCGCCGCTAAACGTGACGTCATCGGCCCCCTCCCCCGAACCCCCAGAAAACGGCCGTCATCCGGGGGGGAACAGGCTCATGATGATGATGGTGATGATGATGATTATGGTGATGCTGAGAAGCTGATGATTAGATGTTGATGATGATGAAGATGATGATGAAGATGCTGGTGATGATGGAAGGTGATGATGATGATGATGATGATGATGATGATGATGATGACTGTGGGACCTGCCGCCAGCGCGCACAGGTGACACGATCAGCTGGGCGAGCTAACAGGTAACAGGCGCCACTGTCCACGATGGTGGTGCTTATGTTGATGAGGTATGTGATGTTAATGGCGATCACGACGAGTCTGATTATATCGATGATGACGATGACGATGACGACCATGTCGATGACGATGCTGGTGATGATGTCTATAACGATGGTAATGGTGCTGATGATGATCATGGTGGTGGTGGTGAAGATAAAGATGTTGCTGAAGATGATGATGCTGATGGTGATGGTGATGATGGTGATGTTGGCGGTGATGCTGATGGCAATGACGATGACGATGCTGATGGCGATGGCGATGTTGGTGATGACTGTAATGATGATGATGATGATGATTATGATGATGATAATAATGATAAAGAGTTGGATGGTGGTGGTAAGCATGAGAATGACTATGCTGATGAAGGCATCGACAATGCTGGTGACAATCATGACGATGCTTAGGATAGTGACGAGGATGCTGTTGATGTTGATGATGATGTTGATGCTGATGCTGATGCTGATGCTGATGCTGATGCTGATTGTGACGGTGGGACCTGCCACCAACGCGCGAGATAACAAGTGACAGGTCCAGCCGAGCGAGCACTCAGGTGACAGGCGCCGCCGTGCATGATGGTGATGATGATGTTGTTATCGGGGGTCTTCTTGGAGCCATCTTGGGCCACATTCGACGCTGCATCCCCCCGCGGGGAGCCCCGTCCAGGCCCCCGGGGGGCAGCACGGGAAGGAATCAACCCCTCCACGGCGAGGAAGACGGGTCGTCCTGGCACCTCGCAGCTCGTCAGGCTGGGCCTCTCACCTGTCAGCGCGCACGAGGGGACCTGCCGCCATCGCTCGAGCTAACAGGTGGCAGGCCCTCCGGGCCAGCTAACGGATGACAGGCCCCCCTGGCGAGATTGCAGGTTGATGGCCTCTCGACGAAGAAAATGAAAGTGGGCGGGCGGCTGAGAGGGACAGAAGGCGCGAAGATGAGGAGAAGGAAGGACAACACGAGGTAGTGGCGGCAGAATAAAATAGCACGCGTGTCGGATGAATGTCGACTCGAGTTCCTTACTGGTATCGTGGGTCCCTCAACTTTTTCTCTGCGGGTCGCTTCCTGATGGCCCCAGTGGCCCGAGAAGAGCACTTTGGAGGCCACATGTGTGGAAAGAGCGGCCGTGGCGATCTGCTCGTGGCGCGAGAGGTCTCCTGGAGCCTTGGGCGAGGCAGGAGCCAACAGCGCCCAGGACCCAGATCCTCGAGGAGATTGAGACTCTCGTCCTCACGTCGCCCCGCTGGAGGGATGAACACTCGGCCCAAGGATTGACAGAACCCCCTCTAGCAAAACGACCTTTTGTGATGGCTGCAAGGGGTTCTCGACGGGTGCGCGCTGCACCGTATTCCGAGTGCACCCAGGCGGAATATCGAATCAATTTCCGAAACCTTCCGGACATATCTGGAGAGACACACGCTGACTAGCGATTTGCGAAACCGAAACGAGAATGCACTGGCACACAGCGAAGGCCGATGTCGAGTGAACAGGTGCAGAATTCCTGAATCGACGTGTCGGGGCGGGCGTCCTCTCACTATCCGATGGCTCTGGAGGCCCGGGTCTGGGGCTCAAATGACAATCCCCGCACCCCCAGACTTGCCCATGGGAGCGTTCTGGCCAGACTTTCGGGACGCGTGTCCGCGAGGGCTCGCCGGAGGCCCGAGAATGACAAGAGCCAGCAACGACCACGACCGACGACGAGCGACAAAGGACGAACGACGCCCCTCGGCGGCCGGCGAGCCCGGGGGGAAGTGAGAAGGCTCGAAAGTCCCCGGGTTTCTGACAAGTTTTCTAAGCCTTCCCCGAAGACACCGAAAACCTCTCAAAGGCCGGAGGCATAATGAGAAGCCCCGCCGCCTTCTGAGAATGCCCTCTCCTTCTCACTTCCCCCCCTCGTTCGCCGCCGAAGCCCGCCGTGGGGAGGAAGATCGGGTCGGACATGTCGATGGGGGAGTCCCTCCGGGAGACGCCCGGGCCGCCCCGAAGCCTCTTTGGGGCGGGGGGGGCGCAGCCGCGAGGAGGGGTGGCTCGTCGCGGGGTGAGAGGGGAGAGGAGCGGGGGAGGGGGGCGCGGCCAGGAGGAGGAGAACGGCGCACCGCAGGGGGGAGGGCGGGCCAGCAGCAGCGGCAGCAAAGATAAAGACAATGTTTCAAGGACCCACGCGCGGGCGGCGCACGGTGGAGGCAGCAGCAGCAGCAGCAACAGCAGGGCGAGATCACTGCCGGAGAACATGCGCGAGGAGGAGATGGAAGTGGAGGAGGAGGAGGAGGAGGAGGAGGAGGAGAGGTAGGAGTAGGAGGAGGAGGAGGAGGAGGAGGAGGAGGAGGAGGAGGAGATGGAGAGGGATGGCAGCGTCCACCCATGGACTCCGATGCCTATAGCCACAGCCACAGGGGCAGGGAGCAGGATGAGGAGGAAGGGTGACGAGGAGGAGAGCAGGAGGGGGGAGGCAAGAGCGGAGGGGACAGGGAGGAAGGACCCGGCCGATCACATGCACTGGGGGGGGGTCACTCTGGGAGGCGCCGAGGCTGCCCCGCACGGGCGCGCCGCGCAGGACGAGGCGACCTTGAGGAGAGGCAGGGCAGCCCTCCGCTGGAGCACATCGCACTGGTACGAACGCTGCCGTGCTCTTGAGCACTGCGGATGATGCTGTGGGGGTCAACGAGAAAATCTGCTGTGGTGCACGCCTTGGTGAGAATCACCTTGAAGCCCCACTCGTGCGGGTGCCCCATGAAAGTAGCGAAGCCGACGTAGCCGATCTTCTCCACCCACGCACCGCTCCGCTTGGCGGCCACACTCTGGGAGGCTCGATGCTCGAGAGCCTCAGGCCTCTGAGCTCTTTCGGCTTGGGGGCGGGGCGGTGCTCCTGGGGAAGGGAAGCGGGCTCTGGGGGTCGGAGCATCGGCATCGGGCTGCTCCTGGGGAGCTCCCCAGGAAGGGTCGACGGCCGAGAGGAATCCATGTTTCTGAAAGTGTCTGGCCCATGCTCTGCCCTAGAGGCCTTCAAAGACCTCAGGGGACCTCTCGTGACATCGAATGGGGGGAGGGAAGTGGGGCGAGGAAGAGGAACGGGGGGGGAGAGGAAGGGAGGGGGGAGAAGGAGCGGTGAAGGGACCAGGATTAAGGGAAGGGGGGGGGGCGGAAGAGGGGGGGAGCAAGGGGTGGTCTCGAAGAGAAGCAGCGTTTCGCAAAGCAGCGGCCAATGCACCCGGCGGCTCGAGCACATGCCTCAAATTGAGACGGCCAGTTTCTCGCCGCGCCAGGCCTCCGGGTCCCAACTGCCGACCTCCGGGGAATATGGCTCATCAAACAGCGGCTCGGGATGAGAAGCCGCCCCGGGAGGGGCCTACAGTCGGGTTGCTGAAATCTGCAGACCCCGTCGGCGTGTGTGAACAGTTTTCCGTTTGAGTCGCCGTCGCCACTCTCCACCTTTCCCTGGGTCCTCCTCCTCAAGCGAGCCAGCCAAACGAAAGTCGAATGACGTCGCATTCGACTCAAAGGGAGCCTCTTCCCTTTGATCCCTTCCCCGCGCCAGGGGCGAGGTCTCGGGGGGGTCTCGGGTGATTTCCTGGGAGGGGTCCCGGGGAAGTCCTGGAGGGGGAGGGGGTTCCCGGGCTGTCGTGACCTCCCCCCGGAGGGATCCCCCCCTTGGACAAGGGGGACGGGGGGTAGTCCCCGTGTGGACAGGGGGAACTCGGGACCCCTGCAAGCAAGTGGACCCCACCCACCGCTACCCAGACCCCCCTCCCGAAGGCACCCTCCTCACTCACATCTGCTGTTGCGGGGTGCTGCGTATTTTCCCACATGCCTCCAAGAGGCCTCAGATCCGCTCTCCGAGGCAGCTCCAAGTGACCACTGAGATTCCCAAGAAGGTCCCCAAGAGGCACCCCAACAGAGCCCAAGAGGCTTCCAAGAGAGCCCCAAGAAGGGCTCCAGAGCGTCAGCGTCGTCGTCGTCGCCGCCGCCGCCGCAGTCGCCGTCGTCGTCGTCCCCCTTCAGGGTCGGCGGCACCGGCCGTAAGGCCTTCTCCATAAGATAAGCTAGGCAAGGAGCGAAGCCCCCCTCTGACATCACAGACAGCTGAACAACCACGGAATGACCAGAGGAACAGCGAGTCCCCTCGTAACCCAAAGCGGTCCTCATTTTAGTATCTTGGATGCTTCGAGAGGCTGCACGGTGTCACGGCCTCGAAAAAGAGTCGGGCAGCCCCGGAGCGGCTGCGGCAGCAGCGGCGGCAGCAGGGGGCAAGGGGGGCGACGAGCCGGAGGGGGGAAAGGGGAGCAAGGGGTGGGGCGGAAGGGAGGGGGACCACGGGAAGGAAGAAGGCGAGGGAGGGTTTTCCTCGGAGACCCTGGGGCAGAACGTGACCCAACATCACACCATGCAGAGCTTGCAGCGGCAGCGGCCTCGACTCCTCTCACGCCACGATGCGAGCCACAAGCGAGGAACCTTGGGCTGCGGCCCAAACGGTCGCAAGTCCGGAGGGTGATCTTCGGAGACCCCAAGGCAGGAGGAAGGGAAGACGGAAGACAGGGGAGGAGAAAGATTGCAGAGCATCCCGCTCCTCCCCTTCCCTCCTCCGCATCATTTTCGTCCTCCTCATCCTGCTCGTCCTCGTCCTCCGCTGGCCCAGCAGTGCCCTTCTGGCACGCGGAATGGGCAGCCGCGCGCGCGTGCTGTGCTGAGCAGCGCCCGAATGCAAAGCTTCGAAGCCCAGGCAGCAACATTGGACTCCGTCATGCAGGCTGCCAAGTGACAGGCCTCAAATCAGGCCTCGGGCATCAAGCACCCTGGCCACAACAACCTTTGCTGACGGATACGGCTACCCTCGAAGCACGCACACCTTTTCAATGCGTGCTGGGAAAGTAGAACGCGTGTCGGCCTCCACGAGGCCGTGAAACGTTAAATGCGTGAGAAGACTTCGTACCTCACAAATATTTACAAAATGCTCTTCGCTCCAGGCCTCCAGAAGCCCCCAGATTCGCATGAGGGTGTCCGACCTCAATGGAAAACGCCTCGAAATGAAAACGCCTGTAGCCTGAGGAGACGCTGAATCCTACAACGATTACGGGCGGCGAGCAAAAGGGGGTTGGGGCGGGATGGAGCGGCCATCTGAGAAGGTGGGGGTCTTCCTCAGAAGTGCTCGGCGGGCTTCTGAGAAAACGATTCCCCTCGTTTGGGCACCCGCATTATCCAGGATAGACCTGGTCCGGGTAGTGCCCGATTTGGCACCGTACTGGACAACATCCATATGGGGCAAAATGCGACCCGCGAGAACTCGAGTCAAGTGCAATCCAGGGCAATTTCGGCGCCAATCGGGCACACGCTAACATGGACTAGAGATCCGTGGACCTGTACGAGACCTATGTTGCTTCACATCAGCAATTTGGCCCCTGCTGACTTTTTTCAAAATAATAGATTGGGATGAAACGCTGCCGCTGGATATATCGAGCACAGTTGATCACAACACAAACGCTCCTGCGATCCCCGCCAAAATGGCAAGAAATGGTAAGCTCAGATCCGCATGGCTACATTGCAACCGAACCGCTTGACCACCATCTCGACCGAACTGGCGGAATTCGACCACGCGTCCGACAAAATACGTTCGACGAGGGATGCGCTGCACAATGCCCCGGCCACGGGCAGCGCTACGAGGGAAAGCGGGCCCTTCGATGTGTCACTTTCAGCGCCCGTGAAAGTGACACCTCCCAGGGCCCACTTAAAGAGCACCAGAAAGGCTCCAAGAAGGCCCCGAGAAGGCCCCAGGGCGGCACCAAGAGGGCTCCCAGAGGGACCCAAGAGAGGCCCCAAGAAGGGCCCAAGAGGGCCCTCCGCGGTGTCACTTTCAACGCCCGTGAAAATGACACCTCCCAGGGCCCACTTAGGGCCTCAGAAAAGCTCTAAGAAGGCCCCGAAAGGGCCATAGAGAGCCGCCCTGGGTTCAACTCCGCGTGGCGGAGTTGGAAGCGATAACTTCAATACCCTACTGGAGGCCTCTTAGGGGCCCTAAGACGGCACTGAAGAACCCCATCGGGGCTTTTTCAAAGGCAGAGGAGGGCGCAAAAAGGGGCCTCAGTGAGCCCCTGGTCTAACTCCACCTGGCGGAATTGGAAGCGATATCGCCCGGCGCCTTCATGGAGCCGCTCGGAGCTTCCAAGACGGCTCCAGAAGGCCCCAGGAGGGCCCCAAGAGGATCGAACGACGATTCCTGGAAGTGCACCAGTGAGACCCTTGTTGACCTCCGCCTGGCGGAGTTGGAAGCGACAATTTCCAGTGCCCTCTTGGGGCCTCTGGGGGGCCCCTCAGAAAGCTTTGGGGAGCACAGTGAAGGCCTTCGCAGGGCCGCGTGAGAGCCGTACCAGGGCCGCATGTGTGCGCGGATGGGGGCGACGAGTGCTGACGCTGACGAATATGAGAATGATGAGGGCGATCAAGGCTGGCCCGAAACAAATCCTGGCGCCATTGCAGGCCGCCGATTATCGGCCACGCCGCCAGGACGACGCCAAGCAACAAAACGACACCAACCAACAAACCGACACCAACCAACAAACCAACAAATCGACACCGGCCAACAAAAGGACACCAAGCAACAAAACGACACCAAGCAACAAAACGACACCAACCAACGAAACGACACCAACCAACAAAACGGCACGAATCAACAAAACGGCACTGACCAACCAAACGACAAATCACTTCACGACACCAATGAACAACGCGAAATCCACCGACCGCCAACCAAGCATAAAATCAACCGACACAACGAAACCAACCCATAGAGCCAGACCAACCACTGGATTCGTGAGTCGGGGTAGTCATGGAAGTGAGCCGCTGCAGCCCGCGGAAGCCATTAACAGTGACCAGAGCACCGCAATGCAGCAACGTCCCCGGGCGGCGGCGGGAGTCTTGGATCTCCCGCGGGACTGGAGCGTAGCGAGTTCGTCCTGGGTCCGGTTTAGTGAAGTGAAGAATTTCGGGGTGCTTGCA